TTTGCAAGACGATGCAAGTTCTGCGTGCTGCAGCAAGCGGTCAGATTCGAGGATGTCGTCGTCTCCACCGCAAGGCCATCATAATTGCTTCAGACGGTCAGTCGGTCAGTCCTTTTTCCTGGCCTCGGCCAGGCCTGGAGCTGGGTCGCTGGCGGCGCAGGCGTCGGTGTTGTGTGGCCTGGCTTGCAGGTTTCAGGTGTAACACACCCGGCAAGGCGGTTCCTGCTGTCTCTAGCTTGGCGTCACTCGTGAAGTCTGAACCATGCACGTGGTCATACATTCTTGCATCACAGTGTCTTTTGCACCGACATTCAGGAGCAGATGCCGGAAGTCTTTAGCAACCATCTCTGCAGGCGCTTCTGCTCGACATCGGCTGTACTTGTTTTGAAGCTAGGGTAAGATAACATGATAAAATATAAGGGCTTTTGTAATTTCGGGTCTTAGGCTGCGGCTCGCGTCGCAGAGTTGGGGTTTCGGGTTTCTTGCGCAGGTTGTTGCGGCCAGATATGTATAGCAGCAGCACATGCAGGGCTTCACGAAGCACGGGGCTGCACCTTCTCGGGATGTTTGGTCGTTGGGCGTCGGCTTCTAACCTTGCCCTTGATGGCAGGTCAGCTCCAGGACGGCCTGCAGCTGTGCTATGACCCTGGGTGCTTTCACACCTCCACGGGGAGCACCTCCTGGGCATGTAATATACACCCTGCGTCGGGGTGGCTCCGCAAGCGTTGCAAATGGACTTCTTCCCACTCCGTTCCAACTCATCATATGCATTCCGTATTTGGAGCCTTGCAAGCCGTACACCTTCAACCTTCAAGACCGACAACCTAACAAAACACACAAAGTAACCTTCGAGACCGAACACCCAAAAAACACCCAAACTCAACCCGTCTGTGGTCGAAACCTTTGCTTCAAAGAAGTTTTCATGCGAGCCTGGAGCCACCCTGCTTAGAGTCGCGAGCCAGAAGACGGCGTCAGCGCAAGTCAGGAACGAATTGGGGCCGAGCTTGGTAACCCTAAACCCTCAAGCCCTAAACCCTCAAAACCCCTGAATATCTTCTTCTCGCTGCGTATAGCAGCGACGTTGACGTTGTGAGGGTATTTGGTATCGTCTTTTGGGGGGTTCCAGGTTTCAGGTTTCTTCGGAGACGATCGCCTGAATTCAAGCCTGAAGTCCACCTGTACAACTCCCCGGGCGTCATGTAAATTTACAGGACGCCCGCGAATGTCTGGGCGGTTCTCTCCTGACTCTTGCCCGCTCTCCTTCCCGACTCCTGCCCTGCATGTTCCCGACTCCTGCTTCCTTGCTTCCCGACTTTTGCCGGCATGTTTCTGACTTTGGTTCCCTGACTCTTCCAACACCCTTTCAAGCCCCGCGGCACCTGCACCCCGAGCCTTACAACCGTAAACCCTAAAAGCTAAAGTACCCGTCACACGAAAACTTATAGACCCGTGTGAAGGGAACCCTGAATGGAACCCGCTTCGAAGTATTAAGGCCCCTGTAAGATCCCCTAATCCCTAAACCCTGAAACCACCCAAAAATCCCCCAAAAGACCCCAAACCCGCCAAACCCCTCCCAAAAAGCCCAAAAGCCAAGCCACTCAAGCTCTAGTCAAGAGGACCATAAATAAATATAAATAAGTATAAATAAATAAAAAAAATACATACATACATACATATAAATAAATAAATATATGTATGTATGTATATATATATATATAGATACACATATGCTATATATATATATATAGATATATACATGTATCCACCCGTTTCTTCGAGGCCCCGAGCCGCTTTGGGAGCTCGGCCTGGCCGACAACATGATCAGCGACAAGGGGGCGGAGGAGCTCCTGAGGTGCTCTAGGGCCTCTAGGGTTTAGGGTTTAGGGTTTAGGGTTCAGGGTTTAGGGTTTAGGGTTTAGGGTTTAGGGTTCAGGTTTGGGGTTTAGGGTTTAGGGTTTTGCCCCCCCGGCGGGCTTAGGCGGGGTTGAAGGGTTGAGAGTTTTAGGGGGTTCAGGGTTTGGGGCAGTTTGGGGTTTAAGAACTTAGGCTTTGCGGGGTTTGAGGGAGGTCTTAGGTCTTAGGTTTTATTTTGAGGCTTCCTTGGAAGTTTCGTTAAAGGGAGTTTCAGGGATTCTGCGAGGACCCTAGAGGGCTCAACCTTTCTGTCTAAAGTACACAAGAGCAGGAGATTAAGGGTCTGCCGGTGTTCGGGTTCGGGGTTTTGGGTTTGGGATTCAGTCAGAAAGTGCAAAGATTCCTTGGGGGGGTTCGACTGAGGCCCCTGATGCTAGGCGTTTGGGTCTGAAGGAGAAGGCTTGAGATAAGAGGTCAGGGACCTAAGTCGTATTTCAAGTTTCGCGGATTCAGCTCAGTTTTGGAGTCAGGTGAATTCTAAACCCTAAGCCCTAAACCCTAAACCGGGTTTAAAGACTCGGGCCTTCTGCAATTGAGGCTTGCAGTGCAGGGGTGTGGGAGTTCTTAAGTCTGCGGTTTAGGGTTTAGGGTTTAGGGATGGTTTTTCGAAGTGACGCGTGGACGTTGGGCTCAGTGGCTATGAGTCTATGAGCATAGCAGCTGTTGCTTTCTGGGCTTCCAGGCTTGGCAGTCTCGTTCTTGTGGCTCTTCGAGGTTCAGAGTTGGGAAATTGAGGGCATGAGTCGGGGGGCAGGGTGTAGGATTCCGTTCATATGTTTTCACGGGGGGCTTCTGGAATCGCATAGAAGCAAAATGGGCCTGAAAAGATTGGGTTATATAATATATAGTCTAAAGCAGAGTAGAGTATGGCATAGTACAGTATAGTATAGTATAGTCTAGTCTAGTATAGTCTAGTCTAGTCTAGTCTAGTCTAGTCTAGTCTAGTCTAGTCTAGTCTAGTATAACATAGCATAATATCATGCTTAGTACCTGAGTGGATAGACTCTACACCTTCTGGGATACTATTACCCACTATAAAACTGAAAGTGTAGAGTTGTTGGGGCTTATGAACTCAGCAGCTTAGCATGTAGTGTAGTCTGCTCGACAATACCAGAGAATCTGCTATATCCTAAACCGTAAACCATAAAAAAACCCTAAACTATCATAATTTTCGAAAGAGAAGAGAAAATAGACTTCCGCTCCAGGTGTCTCTACAACCACCCCAGCCATCCGCGGCCGCCTCGGAGAGGTTCTTTTAAAGCTGGAGCAGCGCCCTCTAAATTGCCGTGGTACGGTCTCGTAGGGTTTAGGGTTTAGGGTTGAGCCATTTGAGGGTTTGACACTGACACCCCATACCATCATTGAGTAATAATCAGTAATCCGTTTTGACAGGGTACGTACCTAATCCAGTTTCCTCGCGGACCCGAATCCTCAAGTCCGTCAAGTTATGAAGCTTTTTAGAGTTCTCTCCTATTCTTGTTGGCCGTCCTCCAAGCCGAACTATATCGGGAGCATGTGGAGTAGCCTTCTCCAACCGTCCAACCCCTGAAGCCTAAAGGCTAGAACCCCAAAACCCAAAGCCCTAAAACCCTAACCCCGAACCCTATGAACCCCTAAAGCCTTAAACTCGAAACCCCTACAGCCCTATAACCCTGAAGACCAAAATCTCTCAAGCACCAAATAAGCGGGACGAAGACCGGGGCCTTGATTCTTGATACTGCATGTACCTTAGGTTCCGCCACTACTATGTCTTATAGTATATGGTTATAAGGCCCTCTATTACCTTCTCTCTAAAACTCTACCAAACACTGAAAAAGGCCTATAGGACCTGGTTCGAATTATTAAGGCCCCTGTACCAAACCCTTCCAGCAACTCTTCACGCAAAGCCCTAAAGGGAACCCTATTCTCCTTATGAAGGCTCCTCAATACCTTCAACCCTAAACCCTGAACCAAAGACCCTCAACCCTCAAACCTAAACCCCAAACCCTAAGCCATAATTACGCCCCAAACCCTCAAGCCCAAACCCTCCTAAATCCTCAACCCTAAACCCCAAACCTCAAACCCTAAGCCCTGAACCGGACTTTACTTCTTGTGAGACCTGCCAAGGCCTAGGCTTCCCGACACTGCGGGGCCGGGAAGCGGAAGCGCGTTTGCGCTTCGCCACGGTCCCGGCGGCCTTTGGGGGCCTCTTTTTTCTGTGTGTGTTCTTTTTTTTAATATTGGGGTTTAGGGTTGGAGGAGAATTGCTTGTGGTTTGGGAAGGGGGGTGTTTCACATCATGCTTCCTTCCGTCTGAAATTTCGCGGCTTCAAGCCCGGCAAACGGTGCCCTGATTGGGCATAGCTTGGAATTTCCTGGGTTCGGGCCTTCTCTTCAGCCAAGGGGTTGGATCGCTGTCAGCTTATTTCTTACGGCTCTTGTTGGGCCCAGACACAGGGGAGCCCCAACCCCAAGCCCAAACCCCGATTAATTAGTTTGGAAGAGAAGGAAGGTGGTTCCTGACAAAGGCTTTCTCAATGAAGACGAACTCTGAAGCTTGATGGCTCCAAAGCGCCGTCTCTAGGGCACCAAGGATTTCCCTTGGGAGACTAGAGCAATAAAACTCCCGCGGGGCTCAGAATTTGATCAGAAGCACCCTGTAGCGTGAAATGCACATTCTCTTGTACACGCTTCACGATGGGACTCAATAATTAACTGGCATATATTCCACACCAAGACCTTTGAACCTCCGGTGAAGAGGCTTGTCGGACTTCTTGCCCCAAACTCTGACACCTCCCACTTGCGCCAAAGGCCTTGATTTTCGGAACAACCGCCTCGAGGACAGCTGGTGATCTTATGCCACTACTGGCACCTGGGGTCACGCGGTCCGCAGTCTCTGAAGTAGGTAGTGATCTTCGCTTCCTCTGAGCTTCAAAGCAGAAACTAGGCAACTCGACAAGGCGGGGACGTGGCGCAGCTGTCATCTTTGTCTGTTGATGCATTTCGCCTGAGCCCTGAAACCCTGAAACCCTGGACCCTCGCAAAGGCGCTGCGCCAAAAAATTCGGTGCTGAAGCCTCGACGGCCACTCGCAGAGATCAAACGAGCCGTATTCTAGGTTGGAAAACCTTCAACACCTCGGAACCGAGCCGTCAACCCCAACCCCCAAACCCCCCAAAACACAAAACTCCCAAACCCTAAACCCCCCAAAATCCCCCTAAACCCTAAAAGGTAAGCTTGAAATCTTGGTAGCAGGACCAGGCCGGCTTGGTTCAGCGAGTGGAGTCAGCAACTCGCTCGGCAAGAGCAGACTTTGGGGTTTAATTTACAGTTAGCGTATACTGGGTGTAGACTAGGGGAATTGGGTTGGATTTCGTATTTAGGGCTTCGGGTATATTATACTTTAGGGCATACTATACTACAGGGTTTAGGGCCGGCTATGCTCTGAGAGTTCGGGGTTTGGGTATGCTGCCTTTTCAGAGATCAGGGTTCCGGGTAAACTACTCGACAAGAGGACAGCGTGTAGGGTCATCTTGCTTTCATGTCATAGGAGTCTAAGTGGGCTTGGGGTATACTGTACTCTCTCTCCCTACGTATACTGCCTCGCATAGCGGCATAGCATGCTACAAAGATTTTTGCGTGATGCTTCAGCAGCGGTCAAAAAGACGAGGTGGAATGCAATATTTTGGGATCCAGCCAAAATTCCCCTAAACCAAAAGAATCACGAAGCATCCGTCAAAAAGATGTGTGCTACCTCGTTTTGAATACATGCGCGCGGCCTCAACTACTCCTTGGATCGCGAGGTCGAGTGCACAAAGTGGCACCAGCATGCACAGGGAGGCTTTTCAGTAAGTTTGGGCGTGCCATACTCGTCTAATACCAAGTGTTCTTGTGTAAGGCATCAGTTTGGCTGCAGCTATTTGTTCGCGCTTTCGCGCCAATCTATCTATCTATCTATCTATCTATCTGTCTGTCTGTCTGTCTATCTATCTATCTATCTATCTATCTATGTATCTATCTATCTATCTATCTATCTACCTATCTAATCTATCTA